AACTGAAGAATCTATGATCAACTGAATATGATCAAAGATCAAATGACTATGATCAAAGATCAACTTTCACAGGTCTAAGATCAACTGACTTGGATCTAAGATCAACTGAATTCACATCATATCTCTTTCAAATGAATGAAATGATGCAAAGTGTAATCATCTTATACATTAACCTTAATGTTCTAAATATTATCAATACAGATTAAAATAACAAGACAGTAGTATTCATTTTCACGGGGGATAAGCAAAACGAGGGCGAAGCCACGGACTGCGACTCGCGTAACTTTACACCGCAGCCCAGCGCCAAAATGGAGGGACATCCGGCAGTGCCTTCTGCTTCTTCCGACAAAATAGAGAAATCCAGGTATTTTAAATGCTATCGTAGTGTCTAATCGGTGACCAAAATATTACTCTGTATCTACTGTTGGTCAGTAGATAAGAAAATAAGCAGTTGTCCAGATCAAGCTAAAACAGTAGCCAAGTTCTGATTTTACCTGTAAAATATGTGCATATTATTTAATTTACTATACATTTGAAAGGTGTTTTAACACGTTTCTGATATCTAAAGGTTAGTTAAGGCTCCGAGTATAATTCGTGAAAATGATTTGATAATAGAATGAGTTCATGAGGAGAAAATTAGATTCAAACTGCACATTCATAGTTGACGCAGTCCAGTAAACAAAGCTATTTCAACAACGCAACACAGCCTCCATTAATATTCTAAGCAACGCAGTCCAACCGCGAACACGAAATAAATAAGATAGTGTAAACTATTTTCCTACGCTATTATTGTTTCAGGAAAAGAAAGTCAGCATCCAGATTATCATTCAAAGTTACGTTGATAACATATATCTATTACCTGAATCAATGTCCCAAATTGCTATATTGTATCGTTTAAGACCTAGAAATATGGCAATTCAATAGCGTATTTGGCAGAACAGTCGAGCGCAAGATGACAACGTAATATGTTTATTACAAGCCAATTTGTGGATAGGGTTAAATATATAGATAATTGGATAGTGGTGAGACTTTTTATAAGAAGTAGAAATGCGAAACAATTAACTTTTTGATGATGCAATAAAAGCTGTTGGGGAAGGGTACATTAACTAGTATTTAAGATATCAGGAAAATATCAAATAATTGGAGAGTTGGTGAGTTAATGTAATTTTGGATGATCTTTCCAACAGTCCATCAATATTGCTAGCTACCATAAATTCATGATTTCAGCTGTATTTGACAGCTTGTATATATTTGCAGAATGGATTGAGACACGATGTAGGTCTATTAAAATAGCCCTTTATATTCAATTTTATATTCAAAGTTGCTCCATTTCGGCCACACCTGTACACACATTGTGCTATCTACCTTTGGCTGTGATTGCGTTCAGCTTCAGATATAAAGCAACATTGAGTCGCGGACTGCGTTGGGCAGATGGATGGACTGCGACTATTATAAATTCCAATTTTCTATGTAATTGTACGTTTTCCGCTTACCAAATATCACACGAAGATGTAATTGTAACAACAGAACATGAATAATTATATTAATTCGATGTCATTTCTGATTCCTTTGTTTAAATCGGTATATTAGGGACAAATATTGACAAAATTACATTTTTTGTGGCAGATTTCGAATTCATTTGTGTTCATGCTAAACTATTGGACAGCCGAGCACCAAGAATGCCATTGCAGGTGGAGTATGAATATGTTGATCACCGACTGGAACATACTAGCTATTGTGTAGAATATCCAAACCAATATTCTACCCCAAATCCTAACATGCCTTCCAAATAAAGTTTGGACGTACCGCCATTGTTCAGCTATAATGCGTTGTAACCTCGTTTTGAATTACGCGAGTCGCAGTCCGTGGCTTCGCCCTCTTTTTGCTTATCCCCCGTGATTTTATGACTTCAATAAATTATGCATATTCATGGAGTTAACAATGTCACTGGTTCAGTTCTTTCATTTCTCATTTGAGGATGAATTATGGCTACCAAAGTAGTCACAGAATAAGTTCCTTGTTTCATTGGATTTGTTAAGCACCAATCACATATACTGCAACTGTAGTTTGTTCTTTGAAGTCCCATTGTTTATCTAAACCCATTGAAGCTCTGCCTTAGAACTCTGAACCTCTTAGAATTTGAATGCTTTTTCTTAGGTCTATACTTTAAACATCCAATGTTTAAAACAAGACATTAATATACAAAGTGTCATCACCTGCCATTTGCTACAGACACTGGCCGTCACACACCATTCATAAAGGTTGGAGACTATTAACAAAATGTCACCAATTCTGGTGGTGACATTAAAACCTAAACTTCTCAATGGGAACTGTTCTATTCAGTAAAAATTAGTACCATGGGTACTGGGCTCACATGGTGACAGAAAAAAACGGATATAATTTTTTGCTGATTTTTTGTTACAAAATTATTTCAAGCCATCTGTCTCTCAGTCAATTAAAATGGCTGAAAAAAAATTTGATATAATTTTTTGCCAATAATTTGTAACAAAATTATTTCATACAACTACTCTTTACAGTGACATGGCTTTTTGCAATGCAAGACACCTGAAATTATTTGTAAAGCTAGGAAATGGGCCAAAATTGAATTTCACGAGACAAAAATGGCGACCATTTTGAAATCAGGCAAGCTTTTGAACCAGGAGTCATAGGGGAGTTTTTTGTATTGATGTTGAACAAAAATAACTTGAAACTGGAATCCTATCGACAGAGGTTTTAAGCAAATGGTCCAAAAGAGGATTTCGCGAGACAGATGGACAAATCAATGTTAACTAAAATGGCTGAAAATAAAAAAACGGACATAATATTTTGCCGATTTTTTGTAACAAAATTATTTCATACAACTACCTTTTACAGTGACATGGCTTTTTACAATGCAGGACAGCTGAAATTATTTGTAAAGCTAGGAAATGGGCAAAAAGTGGCAACCATTTTGAAAATAGACAAGCTTTTGAACCAAGAGTCATAGGAGAGTTTTTGTATTGATGTTGAACAAAATTAACTTAAAATGGGAATCCTATCAACAGAGGATTTAAGGTAAATGGTCCAAAAGTGAATTTTGCGAGACAGATGGACAAATCAATGTTAACTAAAATGGCTGAAAATAAATAAATGGATATAATTTTTCGCTGATTTTTCGTAACAAAATTATTTCATACATCTACTCTTTACATTGACATGGATTTTTACAATGTAGGACACTTGAAATTATTTGTAAAGCTAGGACATGGGTCAAAAGTGAATTTCGCGAAACAAAAATGGCGGCCATTTTGAAAATTGGCGAGCTTTTGAACCAGGAGTCATAGGGGAGTTTTCTGAATTGATGTTGAACAGAAATAACTTAAAATAGGAATCCTATCGACAGAGGTTTTAAAACGTGACACAGAAAGTGGATTTCACGAGTCAGATAGACAAATCAATGTTAACTAAAATGGCTGAAAATAAAAAAAATAGAAACAATTTTTCGCAAATTTCTTGTAACAAAATTATTTCATATATCTACCCTTTACATTGACATGGATTTTTAAAATGTAGGACACCTGAAATTATTTGTAAAGCTAGGAAATGGGTCAAAAGTGAATTTCGCGAGACAAACGTGACGGCTATTTTTAAAATAGCCGAGCTTTTGAACGAAGAGTCATAGGAGAGTTTTTTGTATTGATGTTGAACAAAAATAACTTAAAATGGGAATCCTATCAACAGAGGGTTTAAGGTAAATGGTCCAAATGTGAATTTTGCGAGACAGATGGACAAATCAATGTTAACTAAAATGGCTGAAAATAAATAAATGGATATAATTTTTCGCTGATTTTTCGTAACAAAATTATTTCATACATCTACTCTTTACTTTGCAATGGATTTCTACAATGTAGGACACTTGAAATTATTTGTAAAGCTAGGAAATGGGTCAAAAGTGAATTTCGCGAGACAAAAATGGTGGCCATTTTGAAAATAGGCGAGCTTTTGAACCAGGAGTCATAGGGGAGTTTTCTGAATTCATGTTGAACAGAAATAACTTAAAACAGGAATCCTATCGACAGAGGTTTTAAAACGTGCCACTGTTATTGACAGAAAGTGGATTTCGCGAGTCAGATAGACAAATCAATGTTAACTAAAATGGCTGAAAATAAAAAAATGGATAAAATTTTTCGCTGATTTTTTTGTAACAAAATTATTTCATATATCTAATCTTAACATTGACATGGATTTTTACAATGTAGGACACCTGAAGTTATTTGTAAAGCTAGGAAATGGGCCAAAAGTGAATTTCGCGAGACAAAAGTGACGGCCATTTTGAAAATAGGCGAGCTTTTGAACCAGGAGTCATAGGGGGGTTTTCTGTATTGATGTTGAACAGAAATAACTTAAAACAGGAATCCTATCGACAGAGGTTAGCTAGGAAATGGGCTAAAAGTGAATTTCGCGAGACAAAAGTGACGGCCATTTTGAAAATAGGCGAGCTTTTGAACCAGGAGTCATAGGGGGGTTTTCTGTATTGATGTTGAACAGAAATAACTTAAAACAGGAATCCTATCGACAGAGGTTTTAAAACAGACAGACAGACAGACAGATGGACGGACAGACAGACAGACAAGTGAGTGATTGCAAAAGCTCACCATGTGAGCTAAAAATGAAATAAAATAAAGCAAACTTACAATAAGGAAAACAGCACCAACCATGACAGCTTTGAGCTTTACATCAAGATCCATTGGGACTGGAAACATAGAATGTTTAATAAAATAAGTATTAAGATAGCAATTCTAGCAAGCTAAAGGATTAAGACTAAGAACAAGTTTTAGTAATATCAACTTTTTATGAAAGAGGTTCACAATGTAATACAGGGTAACTTGGTTTCTGTTATATTACTACACAATTTCTCAAATGACTGGATTATACTGTAATTTTTATTTGATTTTTCTCATAACAATGATCTAATAGGTTATGATAATTCTAAAAAGCTCAATTAAAGTTTTATAGTTACATTAAGTAAAGTTGCTTGTATGGCTTAATTGGTACTTACAAGATACCCCAAAATTATCTGCATTTGTGAAGTATTCCTTCACAAAGCCAGTCCATTGTTTACTAATTTTGCCAACCTCTTGTGCTTGGTCTGCCGACTTCACCTAAATAAATTTTATTTAGAGACATTTAGTTATATATTTTATTTCTAGATTTACTAAAAGTGGAGATTGTTTTCAAAGATATAGGTATTGGTTTTTGAATGGAGGGAATCTCTGGAAAGCAGATCATTTAAATACTTTGTTCTTTTTTGGGTTCTTTTATCACTTCTAAATACATAAACTCAAACTGAATACACAATTCATTGAGTCAATGCCTTAGGGGAGGCATCAAAAGTTCGATGTCAGATAGAAAACGAAATAAATTTAGTTAAAGGGGGAGAGGGTTCAAACCCATTTCAGTTTGCTATCCGACACATTTCAAAATTTCATATTTTTGGCAGTTTTGACTCAGAATGCCTTGGAATGGTTTAAAAATTAAGATTTTACCTGATGCTTTCATTGTCAAGATCATTCCTATGGATTCTATTCTATCAATAGTTGTTCAAAGCCACAAATTACAATAGGAATTAATAATAATAAAAACTAGATCGTATTTAGCAAAATTTTTTCAAATTCTCAAACTGGAAGTCAGCAATCAACTTTCATGGTATTCAGTTTTAGGGTTTCAGAGTGAAAACTAGATTTATTTAGTTTCCGATATGACATTGAACTTTTGATGCCTCCCCTTATTTCTGTACTTTTATTGGCTATGAAAATCTATCAATATTAATCAATGCCTTAAATCTATACTCATATTGACTTTAATGTGATTTATTTTGTGCCTACCACAAAATCTTGATCCCAAGCACAGCAGGGCCCCTGGCACATGCACACTGGTCCCTCAACATCAAAGATTTTCTGCTCATTTGCATCCTTTATATCAAACCTTGGGGGACATGGACTGCACCTGAATATGAATGAACAAAGTAGGTAAGAAAATGGTAAGAAAATGGCAAGATTGTCAGTGAATGTAATACGATGATCGAGTAAATGTAATATTGTAAATACAACAATTTTATTGAGAGTGAATGTTTTATTGACTGTGGCACCATAATGAAGGAATATAGTATGATGAGCTTTTTCTAGCTTTATTAATGTCCTATATAATCTTTTTACATGTGAAACATATTGCTATTACAGTTTTACATATTGTACCTAAATTATTGTAAAACCCGCACTAAAATGGCTCTGGATGAGGCATTGGCTATAGCAGTAAATGAAAAGTTATCATTTTAAATGAGAGGCCATTTTGAAAATCGGCTTTCGAGCAGAACTTCTACCCCCATAGGGTATATGTGTACAAAATATGAACAAAATCGGGCCAACGGTATTTGAGTTATTGCCTGGACGAACGGACAGAAGGACAGACGGATGAAGGCGTTCCCTATATCCCTCCGAACTTCATTCAATGGGATAATTAACAAGGGGAATGGATTAACATTAGCAGCAATTGTAACACCACTGACACCATGTAGAGAATTAGAGGCTTTATTCTTACGCTTGTTTGACAGATCCTACAACTTGACCTGGCGGGGCCTCCACTATGAGTTCCATAGCACAACAATCACTTCCAGCACACCAACAGCACCCGGCACAACATTTAAACTCCCTATGGCATCGTATTACCTCCTGCGAAATAAAATGATGAGGCTAATTTTAATATCAGCACTCAATTCATTTAGCAATTATAAATCAAGTACAAATCAAAAGGAGAAGGTCTGTGGTAAAGAAACTAACATAAGGCATTTGAAAAACATATTTGTTAAAAAACCAATATAATATATTGTTTCTTGAATATTGTACAATTTGCCAGTAAGCCTAAAAATAGGCTGGGTATAAATTATACAAGTACAGGCACTACTTTTTAATAAATAAAAAATATACATTTCAAAACATTACTAAACATTGAAATACAAACAAAAGGAAAACATAATTGGATTTACAATTTACACACTCTCCTCCAAAAATGATTGCTTCAAGACTAGATTGCAACTTTCTCTTCCTCCTCCATGATTAACATTATATGATAGGTCCCTTACCTGACCCAGATTGTCTGTGATGTGTATTGTAAACCCTCATTAGCATCCTCATTAGCAAAGTAGACCTGCTGTTCCTTACCTGACCCAGATTGTCTGTGATGTGTATTGTAAACCCTCATTAGCATCCTCATTAGCAAAGTAGACCTGCTGTTCCTTACCTGACCCAGATTGTCTGTGATGTGTATTGTAAACCCTCATTAGCATCCTCATTAGCAAAGTAGACCTGCTGTTCCTTACCTGACCCAGATTGTCTGTGATGTGTATTGTAAACCCTCATTAGCATCCTCATTAGCAAAGTAGACCTGCTGTTCCTTACCTGACCCAGATTGTCTGTGATGTGTATTGTAAACCCTCATTAGCATCCTCATTAGCAAAGTAGACCTGCTGTTCCTTACCTGACCCAGATTGTCTGTGATGTGTATTGTAAACCCTCATTAGCATCCTCATTAGCAAAGTAGACCTGCTGTTCCTTACCTGACCCAGGTTGTCTGTTATGTGCATGGTAAACCCTCTTTGACAACCCAGGTTGTCTGTTATGTGCATGGTAAACCCTCTTTGAGGTCCAGAGCATTGTCTCATACACATATCACTCTACTCATTAGCAAAGTAGACCTGCTGTTCCTTACCTGACCCAGGTTGTCTGTTATGTGCATGGTAAACCCTCTTTGAGGTCCACAGCATTGTCTCATACACATATCACTTTCCTCATAAGCAAAGTATGTAATGTAATGTAATGCATATCAATGTTAATATATTTTAATCTCGAAAATATCTGTATATATCTGTAAATACTATATTAATCTTGTTTTGAATGATCTTTGGGATTATAATATGATATATGTTTGCAATCATGTTATGACAGTGCTTGCTCCTTTAACTTTTTTCCCAGTCAATGTCCAGTTAATGACTGGCAGCTTATTAAATGAACTGACATGTTTCATTATCACAAATATGAACATTTATGGTGAACCTACACATTTTCACCTATTTGAACAACATTATAACCGCCGATAACAATTGCATGAATTTATGGATGGAACTTCCTTTTGCTAATTATTTAGATGATACTATGGACGTAAATAATTATGAACACTTGCTTTTTGATCCAAGAACAACACACTTGAATAAGGAATACAATGAATTGACTGAACAAGACATTGTGAACCAATCTATTATGCAATCATGCAAATACTTATACCCAGAATCATTAAATTCGAAACTTCAATCACAACATAATGTATCAATGAATTTTGGTTGCATTAATGCAAGAAGCCTATCACATAATTTTTCAAAAGTTGTAAATTTAAATGAGATACTGAATAATCAAATTGACATCCTTGGAATTACAGAAACATGGCTCAAAAAAAATGATGAACAAAATTTTTTAATGAATGGCTTTTATTCTGAATTTGTTTCAAGACAGGATCGGATCGGTGGAGGGGTAGGTATATTTATTCGCGATAGCATTAAGTACAAGCTGAGACCAGATCTAATAATTGAAAATGACTATGATACCCAAGCACTTACAGTTGAAATTGAGCAGTCAAATGACAAAAACATATTAGTTTCAGTTATCTATAAACCCCCTGATGTTGATATTAGCCAATTTAATAAAGATCTTACACAATTTCTGAATATAATGACCAAGGAAAATAAAGAAATATTTTTGATGGGAGACTTTAATATAAATATACTTAACACTGATCATGAAGAAACTGCTAACTTTGTGAATATATTATACTCTTTTAACTTATATCCAACCATTTTCAAACCAACACGAGTTACTACACAAACTGCTTCCTTGATAGATAATATTTTTACCAACTCTCTTAAGGCCAGTCAATCCGGTATAATTTTAACTGATATATCTGACCACTTTCCTATATATGTAACGACTGACTTACCTAGTAAAAGTAGTGAGTAAACGCATTTCTTTTCGCCAAATGAAAAACAAAAATCATATTACCTTTAAATCACGCCTTTCTGAACTTGACTTTTCCCAGCTATATGAATTTGATGATGTTAATTTAGGCTATGCATATTTTATCGAAAAAATTCAAAGTCTCTATAATGAATGCTTCCCGGTAACTACTAAATATATTAAATATTACTACAACAATAAAAAACCTTGGCTGACAGAAGGAATTTTGACCTCTATAAAATTTAAAAATAAACTTTACATTAACTATTTAAAGCACTCTACACAAGATAAGCTTGAATCTTACAAAAAGTATAAACGCATTCTAAGGCAAACTATTCGACATGCAGAAAAACTTCATTACAGATATAAATTTGAACAATCATCTGGTAATATAAAAGACACCTGGACACACATTAATGAAATATTAAACAGAGGAAAGAAATTGCAAATATCACCTGATAAATTTATACACAATAATAAAACATTTACTAATCCCAAAGAAATAGCTAATGGTTTTAATGATTATTTTGTCAATGTTGGAAATAATTTGGCTAAAAACATACCTAATTCTCATAAAACATTTCAACATTATTTGAAGAAAATGTCTAATTCTTTAAGCCAAAGTTTATATCTACGACATGTCACTTTTGATGAAATAAAATCAATTTTAGATAATTTGAAAGATAAATCTGCTGGTAATGATGATATAAAGCCTATAGTTATCAAAAATAGTAGTGCCATCCTTGCAAAACCTCTTGTATTCCTAACTCAACTATCTTTTAAAACTGGCATCTTTCCAGATGATTTGAAAGTTGCCAAGGTAATTTCATTATATAAAAAAGGTACAAAACAATTCTTCAGTAACTATAGACCTATTTCTTTAGTATCTATTTTTTCAAAAATAATTGAAAAAGTAATGGCTCATAGACTTACAGATTTTTTTGAAAAATTCAAACTTTTGTGTCGTAATCAATTTGGCTTTAGAAAAAATAGATCCACTTACTTGGCTATACTTTCTTTTTTAGAAAATTTGCGTAAAGCATTAGATGATAAACAGTTCTCTATTGGCATATTCTTGGACCTCAGTAAAGCATTATGATACTGTTAATCATGACATTTTATTATCTAAACTCAATTTTTATGGTATTAGAGGAAAAGCTAATGATTGGTTTAGAAGTTATCTAAATAATCGAAAACAATTTACTGTACATGTACTGTATATGGTGATAATAATATTAAATCTCAGGAACAATCAATCACATGTGGAGTTCCACAAGGCACTACCTTAGGTCCTATTTTGTTTATAATATATATCAATGACATTATATGTTCAAGTTCTTTGTTAAAATATGTAGTTTTTGCAGATGATACAAACATCTTGTATTCTGATAAGAACATAAATAATCTGATAACTAAATTAAATTGTGAACTGTATAAAATTGATGATTGGTTTTGCGCTAATAAGCTATCTCTAAACGTACAGAAGACAAAAGGACGATTCTCGGTTTGGAGAACAGTCTCCTGGGCTAATAATTTTTTTCATGAAAAATATAAAAATATTACCCAAATTAAACTATGAATATTCAAAAGAGGACATTTAAATCTACAAGATGTAAAAATAACAAATTGGTCTGAAGCAGGGATAACACTCAATTAGACCGATTCAATAAAATACAAGTCTCTATTTGGGGAAAGAAGTTCATCAGTGTACTGCGCTAATATTTTTTTTGCGAAAAATCTAGAAATATTACCCAAATTAAATTATGACTATTCAAAAGAAGACATTCAAATCTATATTATGTAAAAATATCAAATTTGTCCGAAGCAGGGATAATGCTCACTTAGATTGATGAACTTCGTTCTCCAAACCGAGAATCGTCCTTTATGATATATACAACCTGCAAACATAAAGTTCCACAAAATATTGAGATCAAAATAAGAAATAATTTAGTAGAGAGAGTACAATCATTCAACTTCTTAGGGATAATTATTGATGAGGATTTAAACTGGAAGGAACATATAAAAAAATATCGCTTAAAATATCAAAAATTATCGGGATACTATTTAAAAGTAGACATAAACTAAATACAAAAACACTTTTATCAATTTACTATTCACTTATATATTCTCAAATTCAATACTGTATATGTGCTTGTGGAAATGCAGGCAAAACTGCAACGAATTCAATATTTCAACTACAAAAACGTTTTTTAAGAATTATTACTTACAGCAGAAATAGAGAACATACCGGGCCATTCTTTAAACAATTCAAAATTCTAAAATTTACTGACATATATGACCTTAATATTCTACAACTAACTTACAAATGTATTAACAGACCCGATTCTTTTCCAAGTGACATTTTTATTGACTTCTTTGGAAAAAACAATAGTGTTCATCAACACAACACTAGACAGAATGAACAAGTTCATGTAACAAAATTCAAAACCAATTATTTAAGATACAGTTTTAAAGTACAAGGTGAAATTATCTGGAATAAAATTCCTAATACTATTAAACTTACCAATAATATTTATAAACGAAAACGTCTTTTTAAAGATGACACATTTTCAAAATACTGATTTTGATGTTCTGCAAACGTAAGGTAATTCCATCCTCTTTATTGTACATTATTTTTTACCAATGTTTTTAACTCATGAGACAAATTATGGTTCACCCAGTGTCATGTTGTGTTAAACTTTCAAGCACTTGAAAATTTTAGAATAATGATTTTAAATGTGGTCAATTATATACCTATGTAGGTGTCACGACCACGAATATGTAAAAATGTTATCATGTTTTAATGAAATAAATAAAAAAATAAAAAAGTAGACCTGCTGTTCCTTACCTGACCCAAGTTGTCTGTTAAGTGCATGGTAAACCATCTCTGAGGTTCACAGCATTGTCTCATACACATATCACTCTCCTCATTAGCAAAGTAGATCACTGTTCCTTACCTGACCCAGATTGTCTGTTATGTGCATGGTAAACCATCTCTGAGGTCCACAACACTGTCTCATACACATATCACTCTCCACATTAGCAAAGTAAACCTGCTATCTCTTACCTGACCCAGGTTGTCTGTTATGTGCATGGTAAACCCTCTCTGAGGTCCACAGCATTGTCTCATACACATATCACTCTACTCAGCAAATAGTAGACCTGCTGTTCCTTACCTGACCCAGGTTGTCTGCTATGTGCATGGTAAACCCTCTCTGAGGTCAACAGCACTGTCTCATACACATATCACTCTCCTCATTAGCAAAGTAGATCACTGTTCCTTACCTGACCCAGGTTGTCTGTTATGTGCATGGTAAACCCTCTCTGAGGTCCACAGCATTGTCTCATACACATATCACTCTCCTCATTAGCAAAATAGACCTGCTGTCCCAAAGAGTTCTTCACCTGGTATTTATTCTGAGTCTCAAACCCAGTCATCACTGAATTAAAAAGTATCGTATCATACATCATAGATCAGTGCTATATGTTTTTATCTTCCAAACAGTTAGGGGCCGGGACCGGGTCAATATTTCAATGTCTGTTAAAACGTTATTAATTACCAAGAATTCACTGAAGTTAGCCTATCATGTTTCATATTCCATAATGAGGCGATGACCTCTCCTCCATATCGTAATTTTGGTTAGTCTTCAATTATTTCTTGGAGCAGGCAACAATTATAGATTATTCATGTGTTGATATGTGAAATAGAATGTACATGTACTTACTTTCTAATAGTTCTACTTGCTGGTGTACAAGGATCTGATCTATCTGGGTGAGGTACTCTAGTCCTGGGGGACAGCCTGGGAGTCCCTCTGGGCGTGCCATCCACTGAACTCCCCCAGGGGCACCACCCATAGGAGGCACACCTACATGTACAACATATCAATCAATTCAAAATGATTTAGTAAACCTGAAAATAATACAAATATATATTTCTTTGTGTACCTGTTCAGTCTTTGACCATGTGGCATTTAAGAGCTTAACATTGTTCTTCTATAATATTGCAATACTGCCTTCAATGTTTATATAGATTATTCCATAATAACATGTTTTCCCCGGGATAATAACAGGAATAGAATTGATATTCAAAAAATCCTGAATCGGATCCCATATCAGCCAAAATCCCATATTGGATCCTGTATTGGATCCTGTATCAGCAAAAATAAATAAGATTTAGAAAATTATTATAGAATAAATAGGTTATTGATGGTCATGATGGAATATGAATTTTTCCTTGAATCGCCCTTGGTCAACATGATTTTTCCTTGGCCAATATCATATTTTCCCTCGAAATAAATTCATATTTCATCCCTCCCATTAAATAACCTGTATTTTTCAATAAAAACATTAATTCCTTGATGAGGTCATTCTTATTCTTCAAAATGAATCAATATATTTCCCATGTTGTATCAAAGATAGATTGTTGCACAGGCCCGTAGCCAGTATTTGCCAAGGGGGGGGGGGGTTCAGTTTTCAAAAATTTCCAGGGGGGTTCACATTTGACAATTTTGGCCCAAATATGGCTAAAATCACTTGAAAAGTGCTCAAAATGATGAAAAACTGCCTGATTTAGAAAGAATTTTTGGCCGGGGGGGGGGGGGGGGGGGTTCGCCCGAACCCTGCGAACCCCCCCTGGCTACGGGCCTGCAATCTTTGCCAATGTGTATATCAAATGTTTACCTGGCTGACCTGGCTGGCCTGCATAACCTCCTGGCTGTACACCATACTGTGGCTGACCTGGAAGACAGGACTGTATGTATTAATATGCAATATAAAGACCTGGAATGTATGGTTTAAGGATTTAAGCCTTGGACTCAGTGCATTGTGTGCTGAACCATTCCACAAATATGTCGTCAAATCTTTGCATGATGCCACAGACAACAAATGCTTTGTTGATACTCATATTTTACATGTTGTTCATTATGTGAATACTCTGTTCGAATTGGCTGGAATCGGACATACCTTGCCTAGCTATATGTGAATTAATAATTGTGCAAGCAATATGTCTAATAAATATTAACATAAAGAGTGGAATCTATGTAATCCTTGTCTTATTACATAATGTAAGGTTGTGCTTTTACATCATTACTATAAGCTGGAATGATATCAATATATACTTTATACTGTTGTGACTAGTGACAGAAAATCATCATTTGTGGAATCAGTGTTTGATCCACAAGTTCAATTGAACTGTGATAGAATAATGTTTTGTTAATAAACTCAATTATGGACAACAGACCATCAGGATCATATGATATCATATTCATATATGTTACATGTTACATGAATCACTGTGCTGGTATTTCAATGATCCTGGGAAATTAAGACTGACAGATCAATAATATACTGTATACATTTGTCTTTAATTTGACAAGCGTTTAAATCGGCGCTTGGGAATTTGACATGTTTTTCGTTCGGTGCATTTCCAGTTATAAGAAAGATACCAAGATGGCCAGGCCGTTTAAATTGACAGAAACAAAAATATTGAAGAAATTTATATAAACAACAAGAAATATTGAAGAAATTGTTCATGAACAGCACTTACAATGATTATTTTGAATTTTGTTGGACAGGAGGATGTTGGGGACACTGAAAAGCTGCCAAATTAAATAGATGCCAATAAGCCCAAAAATAAAAATCGCCAAATTAAGTGGAGCCAAATTAAAGACAAATACAGTATGACATACATGCAAGCTAATAAATATGACACCTACCATAACCTTGTGGAGGAGGCTGACCATAGCCTTGTGGGGGTGAAGCATAGCCTTGTTGTGGGGGTTGGCCTCCTTGTGGGGGTTGTCCATATCCTTGTGGGGGTTGTCCGTAAGGGGGAGGAGCCTGAGCATAGCCCTGGGGTGGAGGTTGTCCATAGCCTTGGGGTGGTGGCTGTTGTCCATAGTTGGCAGGGGGAGGGGGCTGCTGCCCTGGCTGGTTCTTCATTGGTTCAGACATTTCTTACTGAAATACATGATATACACTTATCAACCTACATGAACTCTACCACCTTTGTGTGCATATTCACAGGCTGGTATAGAAATATTTGTCCGCTGTGACGGAGCATGCTATTTTTCATAAAAACACTAAGAATACTTCACGATTTATTTTTTAACTCATATCTTTCGTTATACCATACAAAATTACTTACTCCATGCAATGGATATATCATTTGTGGGTAACTTTCACTTCTGTTTGAAGTCCAATTACGCTGGGAAGAAAAGTTATTGAAAATGGCGCCGGAGTATCATATTTCAAAATGTACCATTTCTTGTTTAACTTTCTAATGGCACCATATAGTGACACGATAATATTTACACATGGTTTCAGCATAACTATGAAGATATAAATGAAATGTTGATGTATTTGGTCTTTTTAATTCTTTTATAAAAAATAATGTTTAATTTTTTTGTCCGCTGTGATGGAGCAGTTGCAAATGTGAACTGTGAAAATGCTCCGTCACAGCGGACAAAAAATATTAATATTATTTTTTATAAAAAAATTAAAAAGACCCAATGCATTAATATCTCATTAATACATTCAGAGATATGGTGAAAATATATGTTAATATTATCGTGTCACTATATCATGCCATTAAAAAGTTAAAAAAAAGGAATGGTTCATTTTAGAGTTTGATACTCTGGCGCCGTTTTCAATAGATTTTACTCCTAGCGTTATTGGACTTCAAACAGTAGTGAAGGTTACACGCAAATGATATATCCATTGCATGGAGTAAGTAATTATCTTTGATATTACGAAACATATATGAGTTAAAAAATAAATCGTGAAGCATTCTTAGTATTTTTATGAAAAATAGCATGCTCCGTCACAGCGGACAAATCTTTCGATACCAGCCTGTGATATTACAAATGATGAAAGGTCAGGTGACTCACTGTCAATCAGAGACATATAAAACAGTTATATGTTTTATATGTCTCAATGTCAATAGAAATGGGCATGTATATTAATTTTTTGATACCCTGCACGCAGAGTCTAGTTAAACTACACTCTGCCTAGTAGAGACCATATTACAGTTTAGTAGCCCCGCCCCCACGATGGGTACCAGTGACAGTTTGTGTAATAAATCACTTCTGACCTACGCGCTGACCTTTCTTCCATCAGTCAGCGAGCTTGAAGAAACATACGCCAAATGCGTGCTAATTAAATATGCGCATGTCATTGGTCAATTCCGAGCTCAACGATGACGTCAGAAGGAATGACCATATATAGAACGTCGGTCAAATTTGGCCGACGAACACTGATTGGCGCGGTGAGTTCACAGGTTTATTTTAGTTTGAAAGAGTGAAGACGGAGCTCTCTTTTAAGAAGTGAAGTCAAACGAATGCAAAGGGTAATTTTTTGACAGAGAGACTACAGAATGCAACACACTGATGCAACTGGTGCAACACCTACCATCAAACGATTCCGCGTAACATTTTGCATTAAATATTCATTTACAGTTAAATGTGGGTATTTTTGTCTGACACGCGACTTGCTTAAGTGAACTTATTCGTTCAGTGTGTCAATGGCAGTTTATAGACATGATTTCAGCCTTATTGCCATTTTGATAATACTGAGCTTTCAAGAGACCATTTAATTTTCCGCGTGGTTGGCGGAATATGCACGGAAGTTAAACCTAGTCGCAGGCCACAAGATATGACTACATGTAGGTTAAACTTGTTGAACTAGAGAGGGTACCGGGTCTTAATTTCAAAAAAGAAATTTTGAGGGGGCAAGTCCCCCCAGACCACCTTAGCTTACAGCGCCATGAGGTGCTTTGCAGTTTGACGGTTTGACATTTCATGTCCAAATTTTTTCAAGCAATCTCAGAAATATTTTTAGATTAATGAAATTTGCCATCGCCCGTTAGTTTTTAGAATGGCCCCTGGCCTGTAGTATCAGTGGCGGAGACACGCGCGCTCCCCCTAGAATCCAGTCTGAGACAATTGTTTAGTCCTGATGATACTACGTCTATTTACCATTGTCATTTTCCAATGTTCCAATACAATACATCCAAGGTCATAGTCCATCGTCACATCTTACCATTTACCGTTGTCTTTGTAAATTATTTCAAATTCAGTAGGGTAGGGTAAGGTATAAATATTTTCGAAACAAATGAGTGATTAGATATAAACATATATTTCGGACCAAATGCATGACATAAACGGAAATCGTGTGCAAAGACCGAACGGAATGCATTCGCTATTTTTCGCCATTTGGATTTTTACCATATCAGCCTTTTATAAAAAAAATGATTTTAAAAATATCAACATAATGCGTGATTTGCGTGATATTTGATCATTCACGCTAAATTGATATGTGATTTCTATTTTTCCAGCAAATGCGTGACAATCAAGCCTAATGTGTGAGGGTTGACAGAGCTGAAATTGGGATTTCATATAATCATGGGCTTTCAATCTTTCAAGCCCATGATTATAATATATCATCACACAAGCTTAACACATGCACAGATAAAGTCCCATGAAACGAGGACCAACGTGATTAGAGTTGAAGCGACGGTTATGACGGCCATTTGTGACAACAGTATCTAGAGTTCATTTCACTGCTTCATTTCGTCAGTAGAACGGCAAAAATAAGAAATTGGGAGACCATTGTGCAATAATATATGGAAAAGTTTATTCATAATGTACATGAATGACATTTGTATATCTTGGATTGCTTCTAGTTTGGCTTATAAAGTGTGTTTAGGTTTAAAGTTTTTTATTATCATTTTAAACAAAACTAATTACAAACACAGCAAGGGCCGAAGCAATGCATTATTGGCCTCTTATATTTGGATGTTTCTCTGCCATGTTATTTTCAATAAGATTAACATGGCTGAAATTCTTCAAATTACAAGACGGCACAGGCTTATTGCACAAAAAACTAAAAAATCTGAAATATACAAATGTCATTCATGTACATTATGAATATACTTTTCCATATATTATTGCACAATGGTCTCCCAATTTCTTATTTTTGCCGTTCTACTGACGAAATGAAGCAGTGAAATGGACTCTAACTTTACCATTGTCAGGCTATTCCAGTGTAATTTTGGAATGTACCAAAAATTTTAAATATAGTTATTCTGCGCATAATAGGCTACAATGCGACGCAGATGTCGGCACGATCGTATATCGGGTGTCCAAAAAAATGAGCCACTTTTTGACAAGTATCGGCAACAGGTGAACTGATTCACGGAAAATTTATTCAGACAAAAGATAGACTAACTGAAGTCCCCCATGCTGGGAAATCCTGTAGCCAACTACAGGTTAGATTATTCATAAGTTTACTAAAGAAATATGTAAAATCAAATTGCAGTTGACAGTGACTCACTGAAGTGTGAGTGTTATGAAATGTCGAAAATAAAAATTGAAAACTGAAAAATTTTCAAGTGAATGATACTCGGTAGAAAAGATGTCTAATTTGATTAGAGCATTAGTATATATGATAGAGCTAACAATTCTATTAACAAAGGCTGTAAAATATTAACCAACTATATCAAATGTTCTCACCTAATAGGCTAGATATTCTCTGATAACATTTAATGTGAAATCCACTCGTCGCTTGTTTGTACTACAGAGGTCTCACACCACAGTTGTCTTTCTGGCAATTTTACAACACTGCCATCTTTCTTACATACCCGCGATATAATGATCAGTAAAATTGATCAATCCAATGATGATGATATAAGTTTAAGTTTAGTTTATTGGCCAAACAAGTAATATGTCTTACCAAGTATGACAAGCTGACATTTGTATACATATAATGGTCAAAGGTCATAGGTCATGATGGAAGTAGAGTGAAAATATTTTGCTCCACATAATATTGGATATTTAGCAAGAAATATATAAGTGCAAACTATGGAAAGTTGTTAGTACAACTATGAATATACATGGATAATAACCAATTGTACAATTACAACTAAATTGCTACATATAAAGAGATATTTGATCAGGAAGTTTGGATATTTTGAACACACAAAGAGCCATATTGAAATTTAGGGATTGATCAACTTGTATCAGACATCAATATGACAAGATCAAAAGCGAATAAAAGGGACAGAATTCCCAGTTCTCCTGGAAATCAAACGGACGCAGAGCCTAAAAAGTCTAAAATAGATGTTGAGACTATGGATATGAAGTCGTTAATTACTACAGTCAAGCATATCGAGGAAATTGTGACAAATAACAAGGAGTCAATCTCGAATGTTAAAGAATCAATATCCTGGATTGAAGATTCAGTGGATGATGTAAGTAAGACTATTACCTCTCTTAAGTCAGAAAATGAACATCTTAAAGACTATGTTGGTATTTTGGAAGGTCGTTTCGAAAAAATGGAGTCTAAAATGGCATTTATGTCTGAACAAATGGAAGATATAAAGTATCGATCAATGAAAATGAACTCTATTTTCTATAATGTCAAAAAACCAGCTATACATGACTGTGAGCAAAAGATAATAGATGTTATGGTAAATGACATGAAAATCCCATCGCAGTTGATTGCATCTGAACAAAACCCAAATGGAACTATAAAACTTGATGTCGCCCACCCGATTGGGAGTTCACAAAGCTCAAACAGGCCTATAGTGGTTAAATTTGTGGACAGGCGGAGTAAACTGACTATGATGAAATATGTATCGAATTTAAAGTCTTCTAGCGTATCAGTCTCTGACCAACTTCCAGATGAAATGAGGGAAAGACGCAGTGCTATGGTGCCGAAAATGAAGGAAATGAAAAGTCAATCACAGGAGCCAAAAACAATCATTCTAAATCGGGATGTCCTCTACGCAGGTGGAAGTAAAATAGATATGAAATTTAACTCAAATCCTCTCACATCCACGATAGCCTCATATG